TCAGATCAACTTCAGGGCCACCTTTGACGTCTCCCCCAGCGCGAGGCTGGGAGACCGGCTGCTCCTGACGGCCAACGTGAGCAGGTGAGCAGGGCCAGGCTCGGGCAGAGCCCCGCGCCCAGCCTCCTCTTGGGGAGCACTTGCCAATAGCTCCTCCTCTTCCTCCAGTGAGAATAACACCCCCAGAACCAGCAAGACCACCTTCCAGCTGGAGCTCCCCGTGAAGTACGCTGTCTACACCGTGATCAGCAGGTGCCACACCGAGGCCCGAAAAGGGCTCTTCGCCATCACCCTGACGGGGCTGGGAGATTCGCAGTCCCTGCGGCCACTGGACACCTGGGATATTTAGGTTTTGTCACTACCCTTCCAGGCGTTAGATAACGCTAGTAGAGCTTACTAATCAATAGTTCAGCGTTTATTGTGGGCTAGCTACGAAAATAATAAGTGTGATGTTATCATTACACTCGCGTTTAATGAGGTTACAGTTCTCAGAAGGCTTCCTCCAAAGCCACAGGGTTGTCCTGGATTCTGTAGGGAAGTGAGAGATGCCTCTGTCTTCCAGGTTCTCGCAGCCTTCCTGGGAGCAAGGTTACCCTGATCTAAAGCAGAAGCTTATCAAGGGCCTCTCTGTGGTTCTGTAGCCTGAGGCTTTGTGAGTTTCTTAAGTGGGGGTAAGGGCTTCCTGTCAGCGGAGGCCTCAGCTAAACATCGAATGGTCTTGCAGCACTGGCGGTGGCCCTGGCCTCTGGGTGGGACAATTCATCATTGCAAGGAACAGATTTACAACTAAGGGGGCTTTTAGAGCCACTCCTCCCTTTCCCAGGCCACTTTGGGAAGGATACAGAGAAATACCCTGCCTGCTCCAGAGGCAGGGTGTCAGGGAAAAGCTTTAGATGCTGCCCAAGGAGGGGTAAATGAGGTTTTGGAACTAGGAGTCAAGCGTTTGAGCAGATGCTATCCTAGCTTTTGCTGTGTTTCCGGCACAAGATGTGGTCGCTTGCCATAAATTCATTTGACTTCAACAAAGATTTATTGAGCCTCTATTATATGTAATCAAAACCAGACATAACCCCTGCCCTTGTGGGATGTATGCACTTGTGAAATGTAACAGGCCCATGGGGCTTAGCCTGGGTATATTCCCCTGCTACTTCTGCCCGTGTGCCTCATTGGATGTCCTCCTGCCCAGCTTCACGCTCCCATTCACTCCTCACGCTGGGGCTCTCCGCAGCCCAGCCAGTTGCATGCTCTGAGCTTGTCTGCTGGAGCATGCACTGGGGTTAGCATACCTTGCAGCGCACCCATAGGCAGGGCACACCGTGTCTAGGTATGTGTGGCCCTACATTTCAGCTGTCCTCTGCGGATGTGACTCTATGGGAAGGGGCCCCCAGGATGAGACTAGGGCATTTTGGGGGAGCCCCTCAGCAGAGCAGGGATGCAACTTCAGAGTAAGAGTGGTAGTCTAAAATTTGGACTATGCAGTCAAAGGACAGGTACCTAAGGAGCAGGGATCAGCCACCCATGTGAGGGGCCAGGCTGGCCACTGGGTCTCCAGGCATGGGCACAGGCAGGCCTGAGGAGGCCTTGTTACAGTGCTACACAGTAAAGAGTCTGTTGTGGGCTCTCCCCCACCTCTAAGCCCCAGGCTCAGAAAAGCCAGGGAAACAGGAGCGAAGGGCTCCATGGGAGGCCTGTGGGAGACCAGACAGGAGCAAGGTCTACTGGTCTACTGACAGATGACCAGTAAACATTTGTCAACAGTTTCAGCCTGAGTCTCCCCAAATTTTTGTTGTGTCCCACATGTCCTTCCAGCACCCTCCATGCTCATGAAGGCCTGAAAGGACAACTGAGACACAGAGAGGGGAAGGCCCTGCCCTCTACTTCCCCAGAAGTCAGTTGCACAACTCAGTCTCTTTCACAGCCCCAGCACCCAGCACCCAGCCCCTCCTTGACAGTTTCCTCTGTGGGCAGCTTCTGTAAGCACCCAGCTTGAAGCCCAGCCCTGCCCCCTAAATGTTCCCGTTACCTCAAGTCAGCCACAGATCTCATTCCAGGATACCCCAAGGCTCCACTGAGCCTCCTCAGGAGGCCCTTGGGTCTTCAGATCCACCCATGCCTCATCTCTCCCTAGCCATGAAGAATCCACCAAGTACCTCAACTTCTCGGCCTCAGAGGAAGAGGGAAGCAGCGTGGCCCAGCATAGATACCAGGTGAGTGATGGTGACTCTGGAGTGTGGGCTGGTGGCCCAGGAGCCAGAGATTAGGAGGGATGTGGGTTTGGCATGGCCTTTGCCCTCGCTGCCCTCTGTGCAGGTGAACAACTTGGGACAGAGGGACCTGCCAGTCAGCATCCACTTCTCAGTGCCTGTGGAGCTGAACCAGGTGACTGTGTGGTCAGAGTTGGAGATCTTCCACCCCCAGGTACTCAAGGACTGTGTATGGCTCTTCTACTAATGCCCTTGACCTGGATTTCCTGTGTTCCTCATGAATCTCTGATGTCCCTACTGAGATGCTTGATCTCTGTGTCTTCCTAGAACACATCTCTTCAGTGCTCTTCAGAGAGAATTGCGCCCTCAGAGTCCAACTTCCAGGCCCACATTCAGAAGAATCCTGTGCTGGTGAGGAGGACTCTGGCTGTCCCCCACTTTAAGCTTCACATCAGAGGAATTGAATTCAGGAATCCACGTGACATTCAGATGGGAGTCTTCTGAGCAGCTCTCCTGAATTCAGATGTGGCTGCTCCCCTTAAATCAGGCAGTTCAATGCTCTCTTCTGCCTTCAAATCCATCTCTCTCTTGGCTGATGCTACTTCTCCGTCCCTAGGACTGCTCCATTGCTCACTGTCTGAGGTTCCGCTGTGACATCCCCTCCTTCGGCATCCAGGAGGAACTTGACTTCATCCTGAAGGGCAACCTCAGCTTTGGCTGGGTCAGCCAGGTGTGTAGGCCCAACAGCAGAGCCCCTCGCCCATATCAGGCGGTACCTGATATGTCTGTGCCTGGCCTCAATCAAGCTAGGACATTTCTCTGACTCTGAGCTTTCCCAGGGCTAGTTCCCAGCTCTCCTGCTCCCTTTGCAGACGCTGCAGAAGAAGGTATCGGTCGTGAGTGTGGCTGAAATCACGTTCGACACATCTGTGTATTCCCAGCTTCCAGGCCAGGAGGCGTTTTTGAGAGCCCAGGTAGTGACTGTGTGGCAGGCAGTCTCCAAGTTGAAGCCTCTGGTGCTAAATCCGTGGTGCTGGGTGCGGAGCTCACAAGCCTGGAGGGGGGAAGGATGAAGGTCCCTGGGCAGGACAGTTGTTCCTAAATCCATGGGCGCTTCTGTATCTCACGCCTTGGAGTTTGGCCTGGGAAGCAGGGGAGGAAGTTAAAGGTTGGAGAACCTGGGAAGAGTCTGGGACAAGAGGCCTGGTCCTTTCTGATGGGGTCACCTCCACTGCAGATGAAGATGGTGCTGGAGAAACATGAGGCCCACAACCCTGTCCCCCTCATTGTGGGCAGCTCTGTGGGAGGACTGCTGCTGCTGGCTCTCATCACAGCCGCACTGTACAAGGTGAGTGCTTTCACTCCATTTTAGACAACACCAGCATTTGATCTTACTATTTACAGTATAAGAAAGCTCACCTGAGAGTCGGGCACACATTGTTGCATGTGAGAGATCTTCTATGACATCAGCAGTCCCCAACTGTCCCCCATGTTTGCGCCTTCCTATCTGACTCTCAGGCCTCCTCTAGTCTCTCTCCCTTTCTTTTCCACTCTTCTCTGCCTTTGTACATGTTTCCCTTGATAGCAAATTATAACATAAAAAAGCACCGCCTTGGTTTTGAGGTGGACACCACTACGAACTCTTTCTGTGGCTGTAGGCAAGTGCCTGGTCTACGCTGGGTCTTGCTTCCTCATTCTGAAGGTAGTTGTACCCAGCTCACAGAGCTGTGGTCAGGTCTGAATGTCACAGTGTGCATGACGTTGTTACTGCTCTGCTTGAACATTGTAGGGGTTCCACATGGTGGTCCCTCCCCTTCCCAGCACCTCTTCCCCTCACACTGGACATCCTAATTTTCCTCTCCTTCCTTCCCTACAGGCTGGCTTCTTCAAACGTCAGTACAAAGAAATGATGGCGGATGCAAATGGACCAAGTGCCCCAGAAAATGGAACATCAGACCCCCAAGTGGGCCAATAAGAAACTACCTCCTATTCTCTTTTGGACCTGCTTTGCCCTGAGTGGTTTCCTGGCCCTTTTACTCTCACCCGTCAGGCCTGAGGGGGAACGAAAGTTCCACATGAGGGAGGCTGGGATCAAGCCGATTTCTCTCTTTGGGAGCACGCAGTTGATTTGCACAAAGTGTCTTGCCTGGGAAGGGACATTTGTCTTGTCAAGGCTCCAACTGGGAACACCAGGACAGGATCCCTGCCATGCCGCCCAGAGCACTTGACTTAAAATTTCTACCTAGATATACATGGACTGTAGTCTCAAGCCCCATTCTCTCTTCCTCCTCTAGCCACCAATGATCTTTCTAAAATACAGTATTTTTTTGCGATTTAAAAAAATTAAATTTATTGGGGTGACATTGGTTAATAGAATCATATAGGTTTCAAGTATGCATTTTTATGATATAAGATCTGTATATTGCATCGTGTGCTCACCACCCAAAAGTCAAATCATCTTCCGTCACTGTATATTAGGCCCCCTTCATCCCCCACACCCACCCCTTTCCCTCTGGGAACAACCTAAAATACAGTATTGAACGAGCCACTCACTCTCATCCATCTTCAGTGGCTCCCCATTAATCAATCACAGGATTACAGCTGAACTCTTCAGCTGGGTGTTAGGAATCCAGTTCCATTTCCAGAAGATGGGTTTTGGAGCATACAGTAGGAGATGCTCTGTGCCTCTCTGTCACTGTCATTTTGAGTAAAGTACTGTCAGTATCAGCTCATACCTTTGTCTTGGGAATCTCAGTCCAGATTTCCCAAACGAAGCTGGGAATGATGCCTTCACATTAGAATTTGTAAACTTGGCTTCCAGCATTGGTCAGCATTGCTGGCCACGAGGGAAGAGTGGCCCCAGCCCCCAGGAGATGCATTGTCCCCAATGCCACTTTGGCTCACCCAGCTTCAAGGTCTCTGACAGATCAAAAGAGGCTCAGGCCACTTCTACATTTTGAGGCTCTTAAGGTAGCAAATGAATAAATGCCAGAAGAGAATTGTAAAAATTGCTCATTTAAAATATTTGCACTAACAAATTAACATTTTGTACAAAAAGATGTATGTACCTTTATTGGGAAACATGTCAAAGGTCTAAAATTAATGCCTTTTATGGATATGAGTTCTGGAAATGACGCCCAGGGGTCCCCTAATCATGGTAGCCATTGGCCAGCCCTGAGGCCTGGGGCCAGGGCAAGACAGTCAAACAGATTAGGGGTTATAAACATCCCTTATTGAGGGTAACCTGACCTCTTAATCTCCTCAGTCCATCCTCAAGGATGTCTCTGATGGGAAACTGATAAGGCTGTGGAGGAGGGGTGGCAAGGAGATGGGCAGCCCTCAGTGGCTATTCTTCCACCTGGGAAGGTCATTGGAGTGAACCAACACAGAGATGTTTCTTACAAATCCTGAGATGCATTGGCACTGTTTGCATGTGATTAGTGATTGGAGAACACTTTGAAGTCCTATATCAGGGACCTGCTGGCTCTGATAAAGTCATTCTTATGCCACTTCTCTGGGCATAAAGCTCAAAGTGGTGCCTGGCGCTGAGCTAGGAGTCAACATATCCCTGCCCTGGAGAGACCCCACTGCTGCTGCCACCACAGGGTGCTCAGGCTGTGTGGATGCTTTAATTAGAAAAAAAAAAGGGAGAAGCAGTTGATCTTGTGATTTGAGGGAATGCCGGAAAGTGGCCCTTTACCTCCACCCAACAATACCCCCATCCCCCATCTTAGGATCCAAACTCCTTTTTTATTTTGAAGCTTTGTAATCTCCAGAAGGGCCAATTATACAATAGCCTCATGTTGGACTCTAGACTAACTTTATGAGAATCTGGCTTTAGAGTGTTATTTCTCAAAATGTGTCCCACAAACCACTGGTCTCCTAAGTGCTAAGTTTTATATTTAATTTAATTAATTGATTAAATAATTAATATCTTCAACCGTGGATGTGTTTATTGATTTTAGAGAGACAGGAAGAGAGAAAAAGAGAGTGATAAACACTGATATGAAAGAGAAACATTGATCAGTTGCTTCCTACATGCATCCTGACTGGGGAGCAAACCTGCAACCTGGGCATGTGCCCTGACTGGCAATCGAACCCACAACCTTTTGGTGTACAGGACGATGCTCCAATCAACCGAGCCACCGGCCAGGGCCTGAGTGCTAAGTTTTAGAGAGGAAAATTAAAAAAGCAAGAAACGTAGAGGTACAAATAGTGGCATAGGAAGACCCTGAACTCACATCCTCTCCAAAACACCTACTCTACAGCTGTGTGGGGATCACTTCCCTTTGAAAAAGATCTGAGAAGCAGATGAACTGCTCCTCCATGACAGCAGACAAGAGGACCACACAGAGGCCGGTCGGAGAGGCTGAGACTTGCTGTTACCCCAAACCCTCGCCCTGGCATGGACACAATAAGGAGGGATCTCCCCAGTGTGGTGCCTCCATCAGAGGAGCGATGGTTTGTGGCCCACATCGGGCTCCAACCTTGGGATCTGCACTGAGGAGACGAGCCCCAAGACGTCTGGCTTAGAAAACCAATGAGGCTGACATCCAAGAGGCCTGGAGTTAGAGGGAACTGAGGTCCTCCTTTGGAAGGCTGCCTGTGGTCTACTCTCCCCAGCACCCAGAGCAGAAGCAGGAATTTGAAAAGCACTCAGGCTGTATGGGAAGGAGGCGCATTTGCTAATCTTAAAGCATCTGCTGGGCTCTGCAGAGACAGAGGTGCTGTGGGTGCCATTTCTGTACTCGCCGCCCGCCCTGCTAACACAGGCAGGTGAGCTGGGACGTGGCACCCCCACTCTCTGGCTGTGGTGGGTGTGTGAGTGCAAAGGGTGACCCATTCTCTCACTCCCTTGCCAAAGTTAGTGGGCACGGGCAATTGCAGCATTTCCGCCACTTCCTGGCTGGCAGTCGTGAGCAGGACTGGTGACAGCATCCTATGGCTCCCTCCCTGAAGTTGGCATGCATGAGCCAAGACACTTCCCAGCCGCATCACCGAAGCCTGTGGTGTGTGCAGTCAAGGCGCGTTCCTGCAGCCTTTCTGAAGATTGCAAGCTTACCCCATGCCCTACACGCTCTCGCTGCTCTGCTAAACCAGCGGCATGCATGTGCAATCCCCTCGGGAGGGGCCCCTGGATCACCTGCCCCCGGTGGCCAAAGGGGTGGTGCTCCTGGGCTCCAGGGGACTGTGACGTTCAGGAAGACAGTTCACGGCAGCCTGCCAAACAGCAGACTGAACCTCCCCCAGCCTCCCTATTTGCTTATTCCGGAGCTTCAGCCTAAGGGAAAGCTTTGCTCCCATACATCTAGAGGTGACAGAGGTGCTCCCAGGGGACACAAGCAGGAGACACCATATTGGACGCCCCCTTGGCCTTGCTACAGCTTGGTGATACTTCCTAGAGAGGAGCTTATAAACTCATCTGGGGCCCCAATTTTTGCACTGTCACCCAGGGGACATCTCCAGATCTGGTCTGGAAACTAGCAGGGTTTTTTTTTACTGAAGCCCCACAGAAGTGTGTTTATTTTCATACTTTAAAAGCTGCTGCCTGCGGGCCTAGTTTTCAATCAGCTTGAAACTAAGCGCTAAATGAGATTCCTCCCCTTGGGATACTGACAAGTCTTGGAGCATCCTCAACAGTGGGAACTATTAAGAATCAATCAATGCCGTTTTGTGGACGCCGGGTAGGTGAGAGGGCCTGTGGGAGCCGACGGAGGGAGCTGAAGCTCTCCCTGAGGGTGTGTGGGCTTCAGCCGCTGCGGTTCCAACTCAAGATCTCGAAATGCATCGTGATTCCTGTCCATTGGGCTGTAAGGTTTATGTCGGTAATCTTGGAAACAGCGGTGACAAGGCTGAACTGGAAGGCGCTTTTGGCTTTTATGGACCACTCCGAAGTGTGTGGGTTGCTAGAAGCCCTCCCGGCTTTGCTTTCGTTGAGCTTGAAGGTCCCCGAGATGCAGCCGATGTTGTCCGAGAGCCACACTGTGTGGCTGCCGAGGAAGAGTGGAACTGCCGAATGGTGACAAGAGAAGCAGAGATCGTGGCCCACCTCCCTCTTGGGGTTGTCGCCCTCGAGATGATTATCGGAGAAGGAGTCCTCCACCTAGTCGCAGATCTCCAAGACGGAGAAGCTTCTCCCACAGCCGGAGCAGGTCCCTTTCTAGAGATAGGAGAAGAGAGAGATCACTGTCCCGAGAGAGAAATCCTAAGCAGTCCTGATCCTTCTCTAGATCTCCTAGCCGATCTAGGTCAGATGAAGGGAAATAGAAGACCAATTTGCAAGAGGAGTGGTATACAGGAAATAACTTCATTTGACAGGCGTATGTACAGAAAATTCAAGTTTTGTTTGAGACTTCATAAGCTTGGTGCATTTTTAAGATGTTTTAGCTGTTCACATTTGACTTGGCACAGTGACACATAAAGATGTGATTCTCTATGGTTTGAAATGGATCATATGAATCCTGTAATACCAAGAATTGTTACTTTACAAAGTTCCCTTAAGCAAAATTGAATTTGCTTTGAGCTTCAGTCTTACATAGACTGATAATAAACCTCTTAACTTCTGCCCAGCTAAAGTGTGATGTTGAATATTATGGAAACAACTGGCAAAAATTGAACTTAAGACTTTCCATAGCTGGGACATAATATGCAGCTGTAGTTGAAAAAGCAGTTTTCTAAAGCTGCTGTGAACACAAGCCGGCAGGTAAAAATTAAAGCTGCACCCTTAAACTAGATTAGAGGTGTTTTGTTTTTTTTTTAAATTCAACTAGTCTTTATTACTAGGTGGAGGTTGTCCAGTTAGTGTAGAATCCAAGAAATTTAAAGAAAGTTAGTTCACCTTTCTTTGCTTTAGGTCATAAATTTCTTATGTGATTGCTGTATATGAATACGTAGCTCTTTGTAACGTTCTTCACTTGGAAATTTGAGACTATTCAAGATACCAGTGTCCTGCCAGTTTAAGGGTACATTGTAGAGCTGAACTTTTGAGTTACTGTGCAAACATTTTTTTCATGCTGTCATATGTAATATGTTTTGTGAGAATCCTTGGGATTAAAGTTTTGATTACAAAAAAAAAGAATCAATCAAGCTGTTTAGACAATCACAAAGGTTTGAGAGATAACCAAGAGCTAGGGTAGGGTTGAATGATAAATTTCATCACCTAGACAAAGCCACTTCTTCAAGACAGAGAAGTAGCTATTTCACCTAACATGTAGAAGAATCTTGGATATCCACACCAGGACACAATGTAATTAAAATGTCAAAAGTTAAAGATAGAGAATTGTGAGAGCAGTAAGAGAAAAACAACTTGTTATATGCAAGGGAAACCCCATAATGCTACCAGCAAATTTTTCAGCAAAAACTTTTCTTCTAATCTTCACCTGAGGGTATGTTTTTATTGATTTTAGAGAGAGAGGAAGGGCGAGAGAGAGAGAGAGAGAGAGAGAGAGAGAGAGAGAAACATTGATCAGATGCTTCCTGCACATGCCCCGACCAGGTATGCGCCCTGACCAGGAATCAAACCTGCAACCCTTTTGGTGTATGGGATGACACTCCAACTAACTGAGCTACCAGGGCTCAGCAAAAATTTTGAAGGCCAGAAAGGAGTGGCATTGCATATTCAAAGTGCTGAAAAGAGAAAACTTCCACCAAGAATACTCTACCCAGAAAAGTTACCATTCAGAATTGAAGGAGAGAGTTTTCCAGACAAGCAAAAACTAAAGCAGTTAATCACCACTAAACCAGCCTTACAATAAATGTTAAAGGGACTTATTTAAGCTAAAAATAAAGGCACTACTTAATAACGAAGGAAACACGCAAAAGTAAATCCTCTCTAGTAATGGTAATATGTAGTAAAAGTAGTAGAATAACCACTGATAAAACTAGTATAAAGTTTAAAAGACAAAAGTACTAAAATTAACTAAAACTACAATAGTTAGTTAAGGAATACAAGTTAGTTACATCAAAAGCATAACACATGGGGAGGGAGCGTAAAAATCTAGAGCTTTGAGTCCTGGCCAATGTGGCTCAGTTGATTGAGCTTCAGCCCATGCACCAGAAGTTCACCAGTTAGATTCCTGGTGAGGGCACATGTCTGGGTTTTGGGCTCAATCCCCAGTAGGGGATGTTTGGGAAGCAGCTGATTGGTGTTTCTCTCTCACATTGATATTTCTCTCTGTCTATCTCCTTCTCCCTTCCTCTCTCTCTAAAATCAATAAAAACATTTTTTATTTTTTTAAAAAAAAGAGATTAAAAAGAAGTCTAGAGCTTTGAAATGTGTTCAAATTTAAGTTGCCATAAACTTAAAATATTCTGTTATATACATAGGATATTATATGTAAACCTCACAGTAACCATAAAGCAAAAGCATAGTAGATAAAA